GTAAAATGCAGGAGGTAGTAGAACCAGTCATGGCTGGTTTGGCCTCATCTGGAGTATTGTGTGAGGTTCTGGGCTCTACATTTAAGAAGGATGTGGAGAAACTGGAGAGCATTGAAAGGTGAGCAGCAAAAATGATCCAGGGCTTGGAAGGTCAGCTGTATAAGAAAAGGTTGAGAGAGCTTGGTATGTTCAGCTTGGAGAAAAAGAGGTTAAGTGTGGGGAGGTGACTGCAGTTTTCAAATATTTGAAAGACTGCCATAAAGAAGAGGGAGAACAACTGTTCCCCTTTTCCACACAAGTCAGAACATGAAATAATGATTTAAAATTGCAGCGAAGCAGATTCAGATTAGTGCTCAGGAAAAATCTTCTTATCGTTAGAACAATAAGGCAGTGAAAGACTGCCTAGGGAAGCTATATGATTTCCTTCAGCGGAGGTTATTAAGAGAGCTCAACATTGGATGGGGATGATATAGGAATAGCATTTTTCTAGGGGGTTGAACCATATTGACCCTTGAGATCCCTTCTAACATCATGATTCTACAATAGCATATACTTTTTCAAATGGACATCCTTATTTCAGATTCGTAAATTTAAACAAAACAAATTAACAATGTATTTGAAAAATACTCCTTTGGCTAATGTTCATGCTTTTATATAGGTCAATATTTGTTCCATAGATCAAAAAGGCAAAACTTGGTATATTTTTCCTACCAATTAAATGAAATCTGTGTGCTACTTAATATATCAGTGAGGTCAATGGTGTAACCATTCAGACTGTGTTGCAATTGCAGTAATCAGAGGGGACACAAAATAATGCAATAGCTTTCTGGCAAACACAAAAATATGAACTGTGGCTGTAATTCTATCTGATTATTTTATTTGCATTAAATTTGAAAGGGAAAAAAAAGTTTAAAATGTTCTGCCACAGCCTTTTGTTTATTTCTGTACTTGATTTCAAACCTGTGTGTGTGGGGGAGCCCTTTCACACAGGACTCACCCTGTCTGTCCAATTAAACAAATGTATTGTGAAGAAAGGACATAATTACTAGGCCTGTGCGAAGCGGCTAGTATTCGCTTTGGATTCGGATTCAGCCGATTCGGGGGTGTGGCGCTTCCGCCCCTCTCGCCACCCAGTCTATTGGGGTGTTGCCCCTCCCCTCAACTCGCCTGCCACGACTTGGATGTTAAACGCACTTTAAGAGGGGTATACAGTGGAGATCTTTGCTTGGATGGGCCTCCCGATAGACGGTGGTATTCATGGTCGTCCGACGCGATGTTCCACGGGGCTCCGCCTCCCCTACACCCCGTCCACATGCCAGCCAATGGGTGATGCGTTACAAATGTTTCCTGGCCCCGTATGAAGGCCTCAGACCGGTTCCCAGGGTTCCGGTCGCTCTCCCTCCCTTCTTGGGGAAGATTTCTTTTCTTATAGAAAATATTCCTCTGAGTCAGGAGGAGCTGCAGGGTTATCCCCCTTATTCCAGCTCCCTCTCGGATCCTCAGCTGCTTCCTCTCCCCTACCGCAAGCAGGGAGCTCCCTTGCCTCCTGAGTGTAAGCCCCTTCAGGTGGCTGAAAGAGTGCCTCTACTTGCCCTCCTTGTCTGCCTCCTGCTCTGCTTCCCGCAGAAGGCTTAAAGCCCTTCCCTGGGCTGCCTGCTGGAGCCTTGCAGGCTGGGTCGTGTCCTTCCCATGCCGGAGCTCGCCTTATGAGCTGCCAGCCTGTGCGCTCTCTCTCCGGCTCTCTCCCCGTCCTCGCTCCGACTGGGTTTTTAAATCTTCCCGCAGCGGCTGATACGGCTGCTGGGATTGGCTCAGCTGTTCCCCGCGCCGGGAACAGCTGATGCCACAGCCGGCGTAATGCCAGTTTGCGCGGCCCCGAATGCGGCTCCAGCTCCCGCTGCTCTCCGAGAGGTACGTACGCCCCTCTGGGGGCTTGTTCTCGGGGTCTGGGGTCCACAGGCTCTACTCTCTGTCCCTCGAGAGCCTGTGGGGGCACCTCGCCGCCACAGGGGGACAGTGATTTGATTTGGTGACTCAAATCACTGTCCCCATTTGCTTCCGCTGAATCTAATTCAGAGATTCAGCCACCGCCGAATCAGCCAAATCTCCGAATCGAACAGGCCCCATCCCTTGCCCAATCTCGCAGCCCCATCAATGGCTGTCCCGCCCGGCCCCAGCATCCCAGAAGTTTAAAAAAAAAAACCAAAACCCCGCACTCACTGGCTCCTGCCAGGTGGGGGGGGGGGGGATCCCTGCTGCCCCCCCACTACTCCGCTGGCTGC